ACAGCCAACTGCCTTTGGGGCTCCACTATGGGTTTTCTGTCTGCAGAGGTTTAAAATCAGGATCTTCCTTCCCCTAGATGGACTGCCTTCTTGGGCTGACAAGCTCTATCTACCTGAAAGTTGCTATATAAGGTAAATGAAATTAAACTGGAAGAAATACTAATCCAAAATTAATAACTAGCAATACTTAATCTAAGAAATTTAGGTAACTCTAGACTATTAGTTACTAAGCTTAAAAGTGAGAGAAATAAGATGCAAGAAATACTAGTAAAAAAATTAGTAATTGACAATATTTTACTGAAGAAATTCAAACAACTTTGGACTATTAAGACTTGAAAATAAGAAAAAGGAAAAAAAAAAAAAATACTAGTCAAAAATGAATATCTATTCAGTCTGTTGTAGTTTAACTTTCTTTGTTCTTGATCTAAACTGGTATAATTTTTAATTCCTTATTCTGAACAGTCTGTTTGTTTCCAAACATTAGGCAATTCAATTGTCATCTTCCAGAATGTTCAGCTAAACATTTTTTTAAATTACCAGTTGTCATTGTATAGATTATACAGTAACACCTCTACCTAACCTCTTATTAGTAATACCTAATGTCTTTTAAGTCCCTGGGATTGATAGAAAAAAAAAAAAAAAAAAATTAATGAAATATTTTGGTCAGTTATTCATTGGATTAAAAGAAACTTTAATTTGTAGAAAATGTATAAAATAAGTATTTGTGGAGCATGTAAAAGCATGAGGGAATTAATCAAACTGTTTTTCTCTTAATTTATTTTTAAACATGTCTTTATTGAATAATATTTTTCTTTCAGGAATTGTATTTATTTATATTTAACAGATCTGCTATGTTGAAAACACAGACTTCTTTTGTAGAAGGCTTTTATGCATATTTTTTATGCATATTTATATCAGATAACTGATTTGTATTTGTTGAATCTAGCATACTCTATTCTTGTTTGTTGAATAGCATTGGCACCTCAAGAATATTGGTTATATATGATAGAATGCTGAAATTATATATATATATATATATATATATATATATATATATAAGGTTAGGTAAATGGGCAACCAATGAAAATCGAGTCGCACACCAAATGTAGGTATATGCATTTATTTATTATATATATATATATATATATATATATATATATATATATATATATATATATTAAGTTCAGTAGGGTCAAATTGGCAGCTGATCTCAAAATGAACTATAATCTGCTGTTAAGAGCGCAAAGAATGGCTTGTTAATTTTAATGCTTCCAAAATGAAACGGCTTCTATTAATCATCTGGAAGATCCCTTTCTGCCCTCCATCAGTATGGCTGATGCTAACCTTCCAGAAGAGTGACTCATTGCACCTTCATGGACTAATGTTTTCTACTGACATGAAGTGTAAAGATGAAATTGAATTAATTGCTAGCTTGGCTGCTTCATTGTGTTGTTTGAGACATTTTTTTTCTTGCCTGAATCTATCTTGTATATTTATAAGTCTACCATTTGTCCATGCCTTGAATATTACTGCCATATATGGCCTGGTAACCCTGCTATATATTTAGAGATTCTTGATAAAATTCAAATGAAGAATCTGCAATGTTATTGGTTCAGACATCACATTCCCACTGTCGTAATGTAGCTTTTCTATAAATACTTACATGGTAATTGTTTGGATGAACTTTCCTCTATGGTACCCAGACTTTATGACTTTAAGTGCATTACTAGATTGGTAGCAAAATCTTGTTATTTTATAGTTCATATTGTTAGATGTAACCAAAATCTCTGTACTAGTGGCTTCTTTTCTCACACTTTTTACTCATGAAATTGTCTTCCATCTTCTTACTTTCCAGTTGTTCGATCTTCAAAAATTTAAATGTGATATTAATCATTATAATCTGTTTTCTTAATTCTTGTTCTTTTGTTGTCTTTATTGCCTTGCTTGGGGTGAAATGATTAAAAAAAATAAAATTATTCTTTTGATGTAGCAATATGATTATTACTGGAATTTTCAAGTTTGATATTATTAGCCAGTTTTCTGAAAATTGAAGAAGCATTATTGTAATTAAAAATTATAATTAAAAAATGTACATCAATTATTGTAACTAAGTTATCAAAAACAACAGTAGAAAACTAGAATTGGTTTAACAACAAATTTATTACCTTTTGGTACTGGGAAAGATAATGTAGAATAGAAACTAGGGAAGAGTTATGTTTAGCCGTGAATAACTGTCTTCAGTAAAGGCTACTGTTACTCCTGTTGATGTCCAAACTTGTAGGGAAATATTCACCCTTGCAACACTATTTTTGCAAAGACAAATATTTTGAAGAAGAAAATTAAAAAGTGTTATTGCAATGATGGCAAATTTATAAAAAATAATATTAATGTGAAACATATGCTCTATGTTCTGAAACTAGCTTCAAAAATCATTCATCTTTTTATTTTGTGAACCCCATTGTATTTCTTTGCTCGTAAATTACTATCATTGTCAACATTTCTCTTCAGAATTCTTAAGTTTGAATTTGGTCAAGCAAATAAGCTCATAACTTGATCAGACATGCGTCTTTGACACTCATTAGCTTTCTAAAATGAATGTGATGGAGCAATTTCATGTATGAAAATCACCTTCTTTTTGAAAGCATTTGGTTTCTTCTTGAAACGTGGCATCATGTGTGCATTCAAAAAAGCAAATATGTATTTTGGCTGTCATTTTAGCACTCGCTAGAACTTGCCATGACCCACTACATCAGTTCCTATGATCCCACCAAAAAAAAACATTACAATAACTGTCTTAACATTTCAGCCTGTGAAGGCAGTTCTTGCCAATAGCCACCCACCCTTCATCTGTTTTTCTGAGCCTTCAAACACAGTATAACAACTGCTGGTGAAAAGAAGTTTTGAAATATTTGTATGAAGTTTTTATTTATTTATTTTTTTTTTTTGTTAAAAACTGTTTTCTCTTGTGCATTTGGTTTCTAGTTCAAAAAACCAAACAAAAATGCTTGTAACTTTTGCGCACATGCACCCACCTCATCATTTTATAATGAATAAATATTTAAATGCAAGCAAAAAAAGAAGGTGATGAAAGAAGTGTGTGTTTCGTGCATTCACTAACCTGCAAATTATGACACGGATTCCTGAGTGACAAAAGGGGCTTTTGATGGAAAAATTTAATTTGAGTGTGAGATGTATTTTTTAATGTTTAAGTTTGTTACTCAAACTTGTTATTATTATTATTAAACACTGATTTAGTTGAAATTTTTTTCTTCAAATTCTTGTTTAAAAAAAAAGAAAAAGAAGGAAAACAAAAAAAGGCTACTCCTGGCTCGAGCCTTGCCAATATCAATATGGTACAAAGTATAATTTTTAATTTCTTATTCTTAACAGGCTGTTCGTTGTCTTCAAACACCAAATCGCCAGGCAGCTCGTGCCTGTGCCAGCACTCCAGAAACAGCCCGAGGTCTCGCAGCTATGCAACAGCAAAATTTGGTCAAGAAGGTTGCAGGTAAACTTGGCGCCAAACTAGGGCTGTCCGCTTCTTCAAGGCTACGGTCAACACAGAACAGCTCTCCCAATAAAAAGACTATTAAAGCCAAAATTCCTCAACCTAAGACCTCAGCTCGGAATGAAATGCATGTAAATGATCTCCGAAACAAGAAGCGTTCACCTGGACGGCCTCCGCTCAAGCGTAAACTAAAAGAGAGGGGCACACGTGTGAAAACTGCATCAGTGCATATTATACCTGAAACTAAGAAACGCACAGTTGTTGTGAGAAGCGGTAAACCAGGTGTTTTACGAACCCTAACTAAGGTAAGAATATTAGTGTTCTCTTTGGATTTGGTCTATTTTACAGCATATCAACTTCGATGGGTTATTTAATGCTGACAAGATTTTTAGGATAGCTTCATATGAGTAGAATATATATTCTTTGTAAGAAATCAGTTTGTAGATCAGGTTTCATTGATGTATTCTTGTAAAGAGGATTTTTATCGAGAATAAGATTTATTGCTGGTAATATTTTCCTTTTTTTTTTCTTTTTTTTTTTTCCAAAAAATGTATTACTGGTGTTTTTTACTATAAAAATCTATATTTATACTTTCATAATGTTTTGACCCCATTTTGGGGGGTTCACTATTTGCCCATAGCTGGGACACTAACAGGTACTACCACCCCAGGTCAGGGTGAACCTGGGAACAACAGCAATTAAGAGGTGGTTTTGCACTTCCAATCAGAAGCCTTGTTGCTGGATGTAGTTTGTCATACCCAGGATGCGCTTTCTTTAGGGTTGGGGAGAGCAGATTTTTTTAATCAGTCAATTTGGGCTACCTAAATTTAAAGAAATTTTGTTCAGTTAATGTTTCATATTAAGTATTGGGTCCTAAAATTTCTTGGTTCATTGACCTCCATTCATGGAATCTTTGATTTCCCATCATTTTCAAAAAAACATGACTTACGAAATTTAAAAAATTCTCTTTCCCCCAAATTATTACAAATGTTGTATTTGGTTAAATTTTATTTTCATATGTGAAGTTTTAGATATAAATAGAACAGTATTTACATTAGTCGGACTATTGTCCTCATCTTTGTTGCCATATTTGTCACAACGTTTCGGCCGTTGTACGCTCCGGCCTTCTTCAGGTGGTTGGAATTTCGAACTGAACCCTTTATTTCGATATATAGACTGTTCTAATTCCACGTGCCATGTTTGATGGATGTCAGTTCTGAAAGTTCTCCACTGCCTTAACCAGGAATTGAACTCACCTTCTTTGGGTCTGTCACTGGATCTAACCAACGCCTTTATCCACTGTGCCATCTGAGTATTATAAACCTAATGTTTTCAGCATCATTTTTACCAGTGCTCATATTGCAATTTTTTTGCTGTTATCAAACATGGCACGTGGAATTAGAACAGTCTACCCCAGCGATCAAAATAAAGGGTTCAGTTCGAAATTCCAACCACCTGAAGAAGGCCGGAGCGCATAACGGCAAACGTTGTGACAAATATGGCGACAAAGATGAGGACAATAGTCCGACTAATGTAAATACTGTACATAATACCTCATCTCAGAAATATAGACAAATATAAATAGAACTTAAGAAAAATGAAAGGATTATTTACATATAGATTGGCACCCTTTTCTGAGGATTACTGTGCTGTGTCTGGGTTCAAAATGTTACTTCCTGGTCCATTGCCTAGGATCAAACTTGTCTGCTCAGTTTTTTTTTTGTTTGTTTTTTTTACCATCTCACTCAAACGGAACAATGCTGGCATAGTGAATATGTCACATTACCTGGTTATTTCTAGGCTGGACATTCAAATCAGGGTGGGATTTTATATTTGCCCAGTTACAACAAATTGTCATATTGATATTCTTATTTATGTATGGGGGTCAGTCAAAAAGTAATGCCTGTTCTTCTTTAATTATAACAGATTTAATAGCAGAAGTATATGAAAATGAACAAAAAAATTCCCAGATTCCAATTCTTGTTTTCAACATCATCTCCTTCCTTCTTGATGTATTTTCATCTTTGAAGGACATGTTTACATACCTCATAGAAGCTTATTAGTTACTTTCATAACCATGTGCAAGTTGCCGCTTTCACTAAATCATCATTCAGTACTTGTGTATATTATTACTGTAATACAACAGCTTTCTCTTTTTGAATATTTTCATGTCTGAAGCTAAGAGTTACCTCTGACTCTTCCCATCATGCATGGATTTCATCCTAACAAATGTATTTCCTGTGTATATTATTATTGTAATTCAACAGCTTTCTCTTTTGTAACTGAAAATTTCCAAAATCTCAAACCCAAGATGCCAATATATATCATCTCACAATTTTTTGCTCTGTCTGTGGTGCTCTTGTGTACCAAATACAAGTGTTGACATGATTGCACCCCCCCAACCCTGACAGTATTTATTTGGTACAGTACACTTATTTTTCAAATAATTTTCTCTATGGCATGATTGTTTTGTTCTATGTTTAATAAACTTGTGTAAAAATTCTCAGCAGAATATTGATTTGAACCTGTGTGCTTATTTTATAAGTTGAAAAATAGTTGGCACAAACATGTATGCCATACAGTTTTATAAGCTGTTTGCGAAGTGTGTGCTTATTTCCTTGTTTTTAAATTCTCAAATGTGTTTTTGCAGAGCCAGAATAGTAACTACACTACTAGCGCCCAATCACAGAAAGCGTTCTGCAAGACCAATGCTCACAGTAAACCAGTCCGAACTGCCACTCTTCTGTCTCACAGGAACCACACTAACTCAGTCTTACCTGTAGTGCCTTTGCGGAAATTGTCTGAAAATTTGCCGAACTGTCAAAAGGTTTCTCAGAGAGGCAACAACAAACTGCCATCTCGTCCGGTCAGAAAATTGCAAAAGAAAGTGTGGAAGCAGAATCACTCTGCTGATGGTCCCCTATCACCCACTCCAGAGCAGTTGTCCAAAAAACGCCCCCGGCGTGAGGTCAACCCTGCTTCCAGCAACCGACTGCAAAAATCCCGTTTGGGAGCTCATTCCCATTCAGATCCTGAACCACGGATCCAGCCCTCTCGCTTCTCTAAACGTTTATCTTTACAGTTAGCGCAAAGGGCAGCTATGCAAGAGGAACTTGAAAATAAGATAAAGCCTCCTGCTCCAAAGAAGACAAAATTGGCTGAGCCAATGACTGCAGCTTCCGTTTCCACTGCCCCTGTTCTCCAGCCAGTGTCTTCAACAGTGCCATCCCTACCTCATTTGTTCTCCTCTCCAACTCCTTCTTCATTGGTGGCCACACAAACCTCTTCTCTCTCTGTGAACTCCAGTGTTTGCCAGAATGGCCTGCACCACCACCACCACCATCACCACTATTTCCCTCATGTCCATCAGAGACCACAACAGTACCATCACCACCACCATCACCATCACCACCAATCCACACCATCCCATGTCCACCACCACCAGCACCAACAGCAGTATCATCAGCAGCAGCATATGAAGCAAAAACAGCAGCAGTTGATGACTAAGCAACAATCAGTGAAACAACAATCCACAAAACAAGAGCAGACAAAGCCACAAAAACATAACAAACAACTAAATAAACAAGCTCCTGAACAACTACATCATCACCATCAGCAATCAATCTCAAAGCCACAAAAGCAACACCAACCATCACCCTCAGCTAAACAGATGAAACAACAACAGCAGCAGCAGCAGCAACAACAACAGCAGGAGCAAGTATTGACCAATAACATGTCTCCAGTAATGTTGGAAATGTCAGATTTTTCCCCTAAAAAAAAGACAAACTCACTTAAAATGCTCCGTATGCCCACACGGGAGCAATTAAAACTTGCCCGCATCATAGAAAAACGGCGTGGCAAGAAGAACTCCTCCTCTTCATCTTTACCATCTGCCACAACAGACACTCCTAATAACTTAACTCAGGTTGTGAATGTGAGTGCCAAGCCAAAGGAAAATGTCCCAACCACTGAGAGACGGCGTGGGAGGCCACCTAGTAAGTATTCCAAGGTTTAGCAGGTAACATTATATATGTATATGCAAAATATATTTTTTGGAAGAGAATACTGTGATATCTTGACTGATGTAAATTAGTTTTTGTTGGGTTAAAAATTGTTAGTCACCACTTTAGAAAGTGGTCAAAGATCTTAGAAGTTTAATTTATTTATTTATTTTTATACTAATGTTCACTTAATACAAGGCTTCAGAGCCACTCAAAGTAGGTTACTAAATGAGGTGTGTGATATGAAAGTAAAAGAATGTGAAGATTATAAGGATAAAGATGATAGATAATTATTCACCCTTGACTTGAAGAGGTTAAGTAGCAATTCTTGGGGAGGGAAAAAAACTGAGTGGAACTTCTGCCTTGCAATTGGAATATGAAGGTAATATAGAAGTGTAGATGAATAATATTTTGAAAATAAATGCTTAGAATATCTAGCTCTTAAATTGTTTTATTTTATTTTTAAGATTTGCACACAAAATTTTAAAATGAATTTAGGTTTTGTTAAGGAAAACTGTTTATTTTTGTAAGAAAATGTATTTTCCCTGTTTGTTTTGTTCTGAAAATGATCTTATTTTGAAAAAGGTTTTAACATGAAAGTAAGTAATGGTAATATTAACTGTTTCCTTATAAAGAAACATTCAACATTCATTGAAAAATTTTTTTATTCAACTCTGGTCAATATCGGTTGTGCGGCTTTGGAGTTTTCACCAAACTTGAGTTCATCTTCTTGCAAGGATATAAAGGACTCTCTTCTTCTCCTCTCTCTTGGGTGGGTGTTTATATATCTACCTGTAACCTGGTTTGTCCAACATGTGCACATTCGAAGCAGTGACATCAGCTCCTTCTTTATATGTCTATGGAAGTGGGTAGGCAGCTACTTGCATACTGTGAGGTGTGAATCTGCACCTGGTAGCTTGGAAATTATCTTTCAGGTTAACTTACTGATGCACCTAGTTTCTTTGATGGTCTGGTGTAACACTGACTACAAAATTTATTGATATATACTATTATATTACTATGACTGAAAAATTCAAGCAAAATATCTGCATCAAATTTTGTGTGAAACGCAGCAAAATCCTTGAAATACTTCAAACTTTTGCTGAGCATTCTTTAAATGCAGGTGGGTGACTAGCACATCCTTTTCAAGGCTGGTTGAGGGTTAGGGTTCATGCATTTTCAAGGTTACCAATTGCTAAAAAATGTGGAAAAATGAGTGTTTTCCAGGAGATCCTATACCAGAACCTTTCCAATATTAATATTATTTTAGAAAGAAATGTAAATATCAGATGTTTTCTTCTTTCCCAGTTTCCAAGAAATCTCCACCAAGTTCAGTGGATTGTGTGCCAAAAGCAAAGCCATTCCCAGGGGAAAGTGACCCAGCACGCATTGTGGACATTCCCATTTTTTATCCGTCAGAGGACCAGTTCCAGGATCCGTTGGCCTATATAGAGTCAATCAAGAAAGAAGCTGAACCTTACGGCATGTGTAAAATAGTTCCACCTTCTTCCTGGAAGGTAAGAAGGCATTTTCAAAAAAAAAATTTTTTTCCTGAATTTGTTCATGCAGATGTCCACTTTAATTTGTTACTAATTTACATTGTCTGTGCAACTTGTTCTTAAGATATTAAAATGCCTGTAAACATTCCAGACAGACTTTATTAATATATTTCTGATTACTTTAAAATGTTAGATTTAGTGGATACAAGTTTTTGAGTAGACACTCTGTTTTTTTTGGGGTTTTTTTTTAAACAATGTAAAATATATCTACTAGCTCGTATATACAAGTCTTAATAAAGAAATTATGCTCTCAGACAATGTTCAAACCTACATCCTGTGTGTGTGTGTGTGTGTGTGTGTGTGTGTGTGTGTGCATATATATATAATTTTAATTAAACAGTATTTTTTTTTTTTTATTTATCCAACTACATCTACCAGCCTGAATATTTGAGAAATCTTGTCAGAAAAGTATGTGTCCTATGGTAGAATTCAAACCTGCATTTCCTATGGGGAACCATCATTGGATCTGACCACTTAGCCATGCATATTTTTTACCTGAGATATATATATATATATATATATATATATATAAGTTTAGAAGTTCTTATATTTGTATAGAGAATATGCTCAATATTGGAGCTTTTACAGATAAAAACAGTGTGGATATAGGAATCAGTACTGCATAGTGACTGTCATACATATATATATATATATATATATATATATAAGTTATGAAAACTTGTAATCCGTATGGGTAATCCCAAGGAGGATGAAATCCTGAGAGCTCAATGTAAATCCAGAGCTCTCTCTTCTCCCCTCCCATTTCAATATATCATTTCCGTTAAGTTAACTGTTTAAATAAGTTATGGTCTGGTGACTCCTCCTCCCCCAATACTAAGTATGATTGAGAGAGATATTAAATTAAACCCTCCCTAAACTCTACCATGTCTCTCTAACTACTCCTATTACACTCTCTGTTAAATTACAAAAACTTACACTACCCATCATTTCATTTTCCTTAGTGCTATCTGATGATCCGGTGTCCTTTAAAAGGGCTCTGGTGAAATAAATTATTATAATGGAACCTTAAAGTGGTCTGTTTTTCTTTAAAATATATATATATATATATATATATATATATATATATATATATATATATATAAGTGTGTGTGTGAATAAAGGCAGAAGGAAAACTTTTCCTTACCAATATGTTTTGTCCTTTGATGGATTTTATCATAGTAAATATTTACATATTCAGAGGACGAAATGCATTGATGAAGAGAAGTCTTCCTTCTGTCTTCATTCATGTTGCCTTTTTACAGATATATTTTATTTATATGTGAATTTTTATATATACAATGGAAGTTAACTTGTCACTGAATAAGATCATCTCTTTCACTTTTTAAGTATCATGATTGCATTGATGATATGTCAAATGACTTTTAAGACCTGCAAAAATCCCGCAGTACTTCCCACATTGCCAACATGTCAGTCTTCCTGCTGCAGCCTTTCCTGTCTGGATTCTGGAAGTGGAAATATTGTGTGAGTCCACTGGCTGATTGACACATTTTATGGCTGATTGTACATCCGTAATCATCAGTAATGTCATATTGTTAGTTGGTATCATGATGGCACTGTGTGTGGCTGAGAAGACATGCTTTTGAAAAGCAAGTGAAGTCACATTGATCACATTTAAGAGCCTCTTTCGATCTGTGTTCTGGGAGAAGGTTGGCATCTCTCATATATTTGCCTGCACGTTCTTATTGTGCATATTCCATCCTGCTGTTCTCAAAATCCTTGACACCATTAACAATCAGATTTTTTCCATGATTTCCCATCTGATGTAAGTTCTTTCCAGGTGCCTAAATCTGTATGTGTCTTTTTGAGCGTGCCCTTCAGATTGTCTTTATTTTGCATATATACACTTATGTATACACTTATATATACACTTATGTATACACACACAAATAAATCTTATTTGATGGCTTATTATTTTCTTTACATTTTTTTATTTATTTTTCAAATGCACAAAAAATTAGTTTATGCTTTTGATTAAAATATTTTTCCAGACATCCTGTCGTAGCACCTTGAACAGAAGATTTGTGTCTTATCTGCAGTATTTATCTGTTTTCTTTTCAGCATGAAAGTCGAATCAATGAAGAAATGAGGTTTACCAGTCAAGTGCAATACATAAATCGAATGTTTAATCGGTAAGTTTTGGAAATGTTTCCTCATAAGCAAACTGCTAAAACATGTGACATGACTGTTTTTTCCCCATTAAACAATATTCATTCACTGATTGTTTAAATGAAATGATGTGTTTAGAACATGTCTATATATTAGAGAATTTAAAACTAAAAAGAAGTTACAATGTTTGTAATTTTCTTTATTTTTCCATTATGAGATTCATATATTATTATCATCATTCATATTTATTTTCTACTGTGCTATTTTCATTCTGTCTTTCTCACTCCCCCCACCCCCTAATTCATGCAGACTATTTCTTTTGACCTAATTTTATTGCCCTTTTATTATTCTTGCAATGTTCTTTATATATAAACATTTTTTGTATTACACCATCTCTATTCCAATCTATCCATTGGCTTACGGCCATATCATATTGAAAAAACAGTTCTTGCATGATTATTGAAGTTAAGCAATGTTGAGCTTGGTCAATATCTGGATGGGTGACTATTTAGGAATATCAAGTGCTGTAGGCTTGGATGTGTAGGTGGTGTACGGGATAATGGCTCGTAATTGGAAATCAGAGAGCTGATTCATTATATTTGCTTACATGCAAATACCTTTGGGAAAGTTATGAATCCACCTCTTCCCCCCCATATATGGGTTAATTAATAGGATTTGTATCTGAAAATCATTATCTTTAAAAAGTTCTTACCATCTAAAAAATCTGTCCCATGATGAATTGATCCTTAAAATTTGTCCTAGCCATTCTCAGACCTTCCATCAAGTCTTCTCTCAGAGGGTGGACCTCCTGTCCCATCCCAGCCCTTCTTGGATGATTGACCTTATTGATTTGTCTCTTCATGAAATGTATTGTTTTCCTCCAGATGGGGACCAAATGTGCAGCATGTGGAATGTATACAGAAGCATCTGGCCTCTGTTGGAATTGAACTGGTCCAGCCTCCTTTGGTTAGTAACACTTTTTGTTTTATTTCAATATTTAAAAAAGAAAATCTCTTTCATTCTTGTCATAAAACCTGCTGTATAATTATTGGCACATTCATTGTCATTTAACCCAGTTTGGCTGACTTGTGAAGAAATCTTTGATTTGTCTGGAAATTATCCAGTCACCAAATATCTCTTAATCATTTGAATAATTTCTGTAGACAAATGTCAGAATTTCATGAAAAACCTCAAACATTTTCAGTTGTTCATGACTGCATCTCTGTTCATGCATGCAATGTAAGGCCCATTCTAGTTAATTGCCAAGATGCCACACAAGTGTTCTCAAGACATCTAAAATGGCTGGATGCTTTTCATATCTAAAAAGTAAAAATAAAAATAACTGTGTAATTTTGGTTGACTTGTACATGACTCCTTTTATATTAGTTTTGTGGAAACAAATTTTTTTAAAATTATCATTTTTCTCTGTTTCCATTTAGATTGGAGGTGTTGAATTGGATTTATCACGGCTTCACCAAAGCATCAAAGAGCAAGGTGGTATGCAAACAGTAATGGACAAGAAAAAATGGAGCAAGGTTGCAGACATGGTTAAAATTCCAAAACAAGTAAGTCTAAAAAGGCTTTTTCATTCATTCTGGAGACACTTCATGTATGAGGAATGGTGGGGATCTTACATATTACAGGTGTTAGCTGCAGGTCAAAACTCAAAGAAACCACAATAGATATTGGGATTACCTGTAAAGTTGCCTCCATATGTCTTTTCTATAAATATTTCATGGTAATTGTTCAGTTGAGTTCTTTGTTATGACATTTAGACTCTTTGAATTTAAGTACAATATGAGACTAATGACATGGTCTCACCAGTTTACAGTCGAGTTGACTAGATGTAACTGTAAATTCAATGTTAACTTTTTCTTTTCTCCACTTCTTGCTTGAGGAATTCCCTTCTGGCTCCATGCTTTCCAGTCAACTTTAATCTGCAAAAATATAAATGCAATGTCAATCACTACTGTACTCCTAATAGTGCTTTCCTCTTGCTCATTATTAATGTTTCTGTTCCTAATTCTTCCACACCCTGTAACCCCTTGTGTCTTAGTGGCTTTACTGCCTTGCAAGGGGTGATACCAATTTATATATATATATATATATATATATATTCAGTTGTAGGGATATGAGTTTGTGACCCTGGGTTTCATGCTTTTGTGATCATCAGACAAATATGTTAGCTCTATCACTGATATTGAGCACTTTCAAATTGTGCATATATGATATATGTAGAATATATATATATATATATATATATATATATATCGTATAATATGTATTATTTATTTTAGAATATTAAATGTTAAAAGTTGCTACATAATGCCAATTATATTTTCAATACCATAAATGTGTCTCCTTGGTTGATGTTAAACTACTGGTGAGTGAAAGATTAATTTCAAAAACAGAATACTTAAAAAAAAAAAAATAGGCTTGTGGGATTTGTCGTGATTAATCAATGGAAAGTGACCTACGTTAAATTTAAATTCACTTGAAAAAATTGTTTAATATCAGCCATGACATGAAGTTGTCTGTATATAAATCCTAGACAATTTCCTTATTGTCAGTTACAGGTTGTTACATTATTTTGTAATATGTATCGAAGTCTGATGGTCAACTTTACTAAGAAGTAAAAATGAAAAAAGGCGGGGAACTAATTTAACAAAATGCTAACTAGTTATATGCTCGTTCAGCTTCTTACATAAAATGTTATAGTTGATGAATAAAAGGCCCCTTTAAGAAACTGCTGAATAAGTTAACCATTCAAAAAAACAAAAAAACAAAACAAAAACCCCCGAATCAAAAATACAGAACTACTTTAGCAAATTAATATGCAACTGTTAAATAAAGAGCATCCATATAAGGTGTTAATAATACCAACTAATCAATGTAAGATCTTAATACCAACCAAACACCTCTAGATTCATATAAGATGCTAATACTACTAACCAAACATCGATACAAAGCAATATTAAATCAAAATGAAACATACAAATAGAATAGTATGCCATATAAGGTTCACAATAGTTCATTACTATAAGAAAACGTATTATCAAATTCAAAGTTTAAACATATTGCAAGGTAAAAGGTAGGTTATGCCTACAATTTACAGTCAATTCACTTTGGTTTAATAAGGAGTTTTTATCAGAAAATCTGATAATTTCTAATTTTTCATGTAAGAATAAGAAACAGGGTTCATTTAAAGATCTACATATTTACCTTTTTTTTTAAATTTTCCACTTTACCTTAGGAGTTTTATTTTGCTTATAAAGACTTTAAAATATTTTTCAATATTCTTAAATTTAAAAATATTGAAACCCAACAATATTTTTTTCTATTTTATAAATTCATACGACAAAACGCGTTGGTAAAAAAAGGAAAAGTTTTCCTTTGGTATGTTAACTTTTTCCCATTATTTTTATTATTTTTTTTCCTTTCATAAAATGTATTCGTTCTAATGAGATGAATTAAGTTTATTGCTAACTCTGGATTTTTAAGTTTTCTTTTTTTCTAATTATTTTTATATAGGGTTGCAATAAAGTCACTATACAGTTATTTATAATAAAAACACAAATTACTGAAGCAGGTGGCTTGGAGTTCAAACAGTATCAGTAGTTAATTTACTGTTGTTTACTATAACATTTTATTGTGATTAACCAGAACTATTTTAATAATAAATTTCTGAATTGTTAATTAATTGCTTTGTTCTAATGGTTATTGTAAGTAATTTTATAGTGACTTTATTGCTACCCTCTGTGTGTGTGCATGTGTATAGATATATATGAGAGATGGAAAATGAACAAATAGGAAGCATTTATCAATCTAACATGTTTCTCTTTTATTAAAGCTTTAAAGTGTTACATTGATAGACATTTTCTATTTGTTCTTTTTCCTATTCTGGCAGATTCTGATCTGTATTTGATCCCAATTCATATTCACACACACACACACATATATATATATATATATATATATATATATATATATATATATATATATATATGAGAGAGATTTATGAAGCATAGTGGACCACAATAGTTAGATACCCATTGAAAATCTGATTGATATGCTTCATAAATCTCTCTCATATATGTATATGTATATATATATATATATATATATATGAGAGAGATTTATGAAGCACTAGCAGCATGGCCCGGTGTTGCCCGTGCTTGATTCAAAAATAGTACAACTAATACAGCAATCGCTATCACTTGACTTAAAATATTTTTGCCCTTCCTTGCCTTTAGAGGAGTGCCCTTTGCCATGCTGATGTTGTTACATGCCTTACTTCTTGCCTATATCACACTGCCAACTTTTTCTAAGCTCTATAGTAAACATTAAATCTGTTACGAAAAAAGAACTAGACAAAATAAACACAATACGATCAGCTTTAAAAAAACGGAAAAAACATTTTTAAGGGTTGACCGATTGTCAATTTGCACTCTGTTTGGGGGGTGCTCAGAGTTGAAACTTCACATGATGACTCCCAATGCCCTCTTCATAAATCCGCTCGGTTTTCGCTAAAAACTGACATGCGGTTCAGACGCAATCTTGGCGTATTGGTTTTTGGGTTTTATCGATTTTCCGCGCTGTTTAGGGGTCCGTGGTCATGAAACTTCTGGACAACATTTCTAATGGTAGCAGAATTTTTTCGATTATCAATTTTTTTCAATTATTGATTTTTTCGGAACCTGATTCCGAACTCAAAAATCGGGCTCTGTCATGTACTTATGGCAGCCATTTGCAAACTTGTGTTGAAAACCGCATCTAAATCGGGTGAGAAATGCGGCCTGGGCGAGGTAACAACGCCCATGACAGACACAGACAACATGAGAAATATAGATAGTAGATAGATAGTGGACCACAATAGTTAGATACCCATTGAAAATCAGTTTCACTACACTTGAATTTTGTTACTTTGGTTGTAACCCAATATTTCAGTTAATCATTTCTACAGCCTTTTTCAGATGTACAACCAGTAGAGAAAGAGGGGGAATTTGAATATAGTAATGACTCTTCACATAATTCTAGATATCATTGGAAGCTAATTCTTTATTTTGATTTTGTGCTACTTAGCTGAGGGTATTTAGCTGAGAACATTCTGATAAAAATCAGGAACAAGTTGAAGGTAATTAATAGATAAAAAAAAACAAAAGAAAAAAAACATTAATAATGAAAATACATTTACAAGATTGAAACAAGCCATGGAATATTTTATATTTGCCAGAATTTATCTTAGACATTTATAAGTCTACCATTCATTTAAATATTGCTGTTACATCTGGTTTGGTGCTTCTGTTATGTATTAAGAGATTCTTGATAAAATCTAAAGAAGAATCTGCAATTTTATCAGTTTTGACATGGCATCTCAGTTTCAGTCATTTTCCCACCACCATAATGTAGCTTTCTTGTGCTTTTCTGTAAATATTTTCATGATAATTGTTCTGATGAACTTTTTTCTTTGGTATCTAGAATTTACAAATTGAAGCATAGTACTTGATTGGTAGCTAGGTCTCATCATTTTACAGTTGAAATTGCTAGTTGCAAGTTCTATATCTAACTTGTATGTCTCCCTTGTGGAACTCTCTTCCAACTTCTTGTTTTACAGTCAACTTTGATTTTCAAAAATTTAAATGCAATGTCAATCATTCTCTTCTGTTGTCTTAATTCTTGTTCTTTTATTATCCTCTCTCCCTAATAGTAGTTTTTCTCATATTCTCCAACACTCAGTAGCCCCTTGTGTCCTAGTTGTTTTTTTCTTTTTTATTATTTTCCTTATTTTTCCCTTGTGTCTAGGCTCAGGATAGGACAACTAAGCTGTACAATGCATACTGCAAATATCTACTGTCATATGAGATGCTTCCTGAAGAGGAGAAAGCCAAACTTCTGCAGCAAGTCACAGAAGAAAGGAATCAACGGTTACAGCAGCGACAGAATAAAGTTTGCCATCAACTCAATGAAGATGACGGACCCAATAAATGCATAGCCAAGGTGAGTTATCTCCCTTTACAGAAAATCACGCTTTCCCTCTCTTTCTTGTTATGTTGTGTTAAATTAATTCATTGCTTGTGTCATTATTGGATTAGGTAAATATCAGGGCAGAATATGTAAGTTGTATTGAGGACTGATGGGATATATTTTACTGAGATTTTATGTTTGTAAGTCATGAAAGGTTGAGTAGTCAGAAGTTTAAAGTGGTTATAACTGTAGAAGATTATCTAATTCTTTCTTATTATAGTTGAGTATCTTTTATTTGAAATTCTTGGGATTGGAAGTGTTTTAGTTTTCAGATTTTTTTTGGATTTTAGAATACAGATTATTTAATTTGTATATAACATCTTTAAAATTTGGCATCTTGGGAATGGAACCTGAGTATAAACATGATACACCTTTATATTTCTTAACACAGTTTATACATATGTCCTGAAGGTAGTTTTATATAAATAACATATACCATGAAAATAGTTTTATATAAAATTTAATAAGTTTTGTGTAGATACAGATACAAGCAATGATGATAGTCATGTAATGCTCACACGGATTTTTTAATGATGAAATTAAGATTTTACATAAAAATAATCTTTTGTACTTTCTGTATATTTACAAAAAAACAACATGATCACTACATACAAAAAATAGATAAATGCAGGACTTTTTGACATTTTGAATAATATCTTTACCGAGCCTGAAACAATCCATGAACAAAGATGTTGCTGTGACAATTGTTAACAAAAAACTGGTGCCAATGTTGTCTACGTAGCTGGCCTGGGAAACCTCCACCCAGGACAGTCGAGGTTACTTACAACAGCTGCACATCTCCTAGGAACCTTCCCAGTGTTTTCTGAAATGTTCTATTTGTGGCAAGTTATGTCAGCACCTGAAAAACTTTTAGATTTTGGAATTTCAAATAAAGGATACTCAACCTGTAGTATTATTAATAAATGTCAGTAAGGGTTTGAGAATCTTTTTATATATTTTTTAAAAAATTCTTCAAATTCTGAATTTAAAAAAAAATCTCAATAGCAATTGAGAGTGTCTGAATTTTAAGATGCCACATCTGAAATTCAATTCTATTTACTATTTTCAGTGAGTAAGGACTTTATCCAAAAAATCTGACAATTATATCCAGTTTATTGGCTTTAATTGTTCTGTCTGGAACTGGAACATTCCACAGTACAGAGACATTTTCATTGGATATCACAGAATTTGGTTTGTGCTCCTCCAATTTCTTTAATTATATTATTTTGGATACTGAGCAGCGAAACAAAAAATGCTGACAAAGCAGTAAAAAGTCCCTAAATATAGAATTCCCAAATACAAAAATCACATACAATGATCTCTGACCAACTATTTATAAGATTATGAAAGAAAAATGGTAACAGCTATGGAATAAATGTCATAATAATAAACTACACAATATTCAGCCAATCATCTGTGAATGTTTCTCTGGCTACTGAAAGATAAGAAGAGAGGCGGTGGCTCTCTCCAGACTCCATGTTGGGCATACACATGTTACTCATGGACATTTATTGAGAAATGAAATCCTACCAATATGTATACCATATCTGGAGATGTATAGACTCCAGAGGCGGATATGCAATATGGTTGGCCCTGCCCTGGCATCTCGTCTACAGTCACTTTCTCACAGACGCGCCGTCACCTCCCTCTGTCTGTTCTACAAATACTTTCATGGAAATTGCTCCGAGGAGCTGCATTCGCTGGTTCCCAGACGTCATGAGTTCAAGCGCCTTATGAGGCTGGCATCCCGCTCTCACCCCTTCACTATCGAAACTACTTAATGTAGCCGCCTCTTCTACTCTAATAGCTTCATGACTCGCACCTCTCGCCTGTGGAACTCCCTTCCCTATTTCTGTTTCCCTGTGAGCTATAATCTCCAGCTATTCAAGTGTAATGTCAATTGATATCTCCAGTTGCCTTGATCTATCCACTACCCTCATCCTTTCTTCTATCACTCCTATCTGATCTTGCTCTAAACTTTCTGTAACCCCTTGCATCCTAGTGGCTTCCCGCCTTGCTTGGGGTGAAATGCTTAAAAAAAAAAAAAAAAATATGGTCAGGTACATACTGTTGGAATGTTGCAGCTTCCAGGAAATCCGAAACAAAATGAACAATCTCAGAGAATTTTTTGAAAGCATTAAACCTGATAAAGTACTGCAATTGGTCAAAAAGATTGGACCTTACAGTAAAATATAAAAAAAAATGTTTATAAGTGTTTACACAAACAATAAAACCTACCTTTTTAATAATTCTTGACAAACAATAAAATTTGTTTTCAACCATACCTAATGAACAATAGAATTTCTTCTCTACCATACTTGTGAAAAATCTTCCTTTAAAAATATCTAAAGAACTTTATAACTTACTCTCATCCATTGCTGACCAACTATAAAATATTTTTTACAACACAATCAGTTTGGTTCTAAATGATCCACAGGAGGTTAAGGGGTCTGTTAAACACAATCAATCTACCACCAATTTCTTTCCTATGTAGGTTTTACTTGACTCCTTCCACTGTCCATGATGAGGGATTTCTTGTTCTTTTTGTAGTACTGGACCTCACAACTCCCAAATATTATGCAACCAATTTCACAAACTGCCACAACTTCATTTTTCTTACTGCTCCTGCTGAAGTTTTGCTGTATGTACCGATTGCTTCAGATGTCTGACTCTCTTGTGTTCGTCTCTGTCTGGTATCTTTATTTCATGACGTTTGGAGTTGGTGAACATCTTTTCACCTCCATACATGATCAAATTAGACACAATGGGAACAAGGCAAGCAATAAATGAGCAATACTGGAAAAAAAAGAGATGAGAAATCCCTGAGACATTGGTATCCCCGAGAACAGTCTACCCTTGTAGACTAAAGAAAGGGTTCAGTTCGAAATTCCTTATAGATTACCTGGATCGATAGGTACCTGATTACGGTCAAAGTGCATAACAGCCGAAACGGGGTAATAATAATAAAGAGCATCAATATAAATAATATAAATCCATTAATTTAAAATTTGTCCAATCAAGTGTTACCTCCCTTGAAATCTGCAAGGGAGATTACTTTTCTGCTACATGAACTTGATATATTTTTTATACGATCGTTGTCGACCAATTCACTGGTGTAAGTGAGTTCGTTTCTCAGTGGTATGCAACTGTACGAGACTAACCTACACTTAGTAAATAAATACTTTTAAAAAAAAAATTGTTTGTTTTCAGTTTACGACAAATATTTTTTTCTATATTTTATTCTGAAATTCTCTTTCATTCATTTCACACACGGTGGGATAGATTTTTTTCCAGATATATAATTTGCCATATTTGATGACAGATGAAACTAACTTTTTTTTTTTCCTGAAAAATGGCTAAATAAATCTCTTAGGTTTTAAATATGAAGTAAGTAAAGGTTTATCCAGCTACCATTGACTACTAGTACATACACCTAATTCCATAATAATGAATTATTAAATGTAAATGAAGGTGGGAGGGGCTTATATACCATCAAATATAGGAACATTTATTGTTAAAATACAAAGGCAATTCTGAAAAATACAGAATTTGTTTTCTAGAAATGCAAAAAGGTTTTGGAATTATTTTTGTCTTGCAAAATAATTAAATCAAATTCTTTTTTCTTTTTCCAGGGTAAATCTACATCAGTAAATGCTTTTCAGAGGGTGGCTCGTAATATACAGTCAATGTGGTTCCGTGAAGACCCTACCCCAGAACAAGTTGAGGTAAGTCTTTTTAACTTCTGACAGCCGTGTTCTGAATTTCTTGATCAAGAAAAAAAGATTTTATTTTTCATCAATTGATGATTTAGAAAATATCATGGCTGATTAAATATCCTCAGTTTGACACCCAAGCACTCTGAAATGTTCATATTGGAGCTTCCAGTGTGAATGCCAAGCAGTATGTTTCCAGAAATTCTGGTGGAGTGAATTGCATCATGATGCTGTTTTTCTCTCAGACAATGTCCAACTGACCCTATTATACTGTGCAACCAACATGTAGTGATTGAGTTACCAATATTTAACTTGGGCTAGGAAAGATGAGATTCAGGACAATGCGTGAAAGCAATGCAATTTATACATGACGTAAATAGCACATAGTATAAAATACAAAATTGAACTGAATGATTCCAAAACATAACAATTAGATTTATTAATATTTGATGTACATGCATGAGAACTGAAAAGGTAGGACAGAGTCGTGTCCCTTTGATTAGGTATTAGTTGTACCGGAGTTCATATTAAGAAAGTTTGGAATTGTGAGTTGTAAAGTTGGTAAAAGTTCAGGAGTGATTTTAGAGTTTGTGAATGTTGGTAATTGTCTTTAACGTCTGGCCAGCAATGACTAAGATGGGAGTTCCTGAAGGTTACATCTTGGCACTTGGTAGCAAGGAATGAGACATGCGAGAGAGATGAATGAAAAACTACTCAGAGAGTTCACACGTGTTCGGTTTATATAATGGTCATGTACCACGTGGGAGGCTCAAACGGAGAACGTGGGAAAAACAGATTGATCAATCAGCAAGCTAGATTGGAGGTGATTGACCAATGAATACTTGTTATATTTGTATGAAAGTAGGATGTTACTTACCAAATAGGAAGAGTGCATTTCCTAAAAAGAGGTAAGGTTTGTTGTAGAAGATCCCACAAACAAAATAAAAAAAAAAAAACAATGCACATATGCAAAATTAAAAATATAGAATGGCGACAATTTACCCATAGCACCCTGTATAATTAATATTATTTAAATATTTGTCTTGTGAAATGTTTAATACTTACATGTCTTTTCTTCTTTTTAGTCAGAATATTGGAAGATAGTTCAAGATGCTTCAGCTCATGTTACCGTACAGTGTGGCTACATAAACTCAGGAAACCAAAGCACTTTCCTTCCAAACAAGAAGGAAAGCCCTTCTACCAAGTAAGTGTCTTAGGTATTAATTATAGGTTTCTATCTGTAACCATTGGTTTGACTAATGTCTTCATTGTGTGTATATATCAAATACATGTTTTACGTACTTTGACAATAAAGTGGGGGGTTCCTATTAAGTGGACAGAATGTCACATCAGGATTGGAAAGGCAAACATGATCTTACTTATTATAAAACGCAGATTGTGTGTGTGTCTATACGTTTATATATTGGATCAGATTTCAACCGATTTCAACAAAACTTCACAGGGCTGCATAAAATTCCCTTGCGGTGGTTCTGACAGCGCCAAAAATTGGAAAAACACAATTGTTTTTGCACGAAATCAATTTGAAAACACGATAAAACACAATTCTGTCGCCAGAATGAAAGGGGGACAACTCATATCGAGTTATAAAACCCGGGTTGTTTGTTTGTCTGTTTGTTTATATATGGGATCAGATTTCCTACACTTTTCAACCGATTTCAACAAAACTTCACTTTTTTTTTTGGCAGGTAGTGTTTCTTATTGTCTTGCACACTTTTTTCTTTATTTTTACATTCAGAACACTTTAAAAATTTCATTTACAAGACAATTGTTTATAATAAAATTCTATTCAATCGGTAGACTCATAACGATTGAAAACAATGTTTTTGTTTGGGTTTGACCAATTCGTAAAAAAAACAAAACCAAAAAAATAAAAACTAATTAAGACATGCGTGTCCATCAACCTTAAACAATAATCTTTGTCAATTTTATTTTTCAGTCTTTATAATGGTCGATACTTGATCTATCTCTTACTGTTACATCCCTGGGCAACGCCGGGCTCTACTGCTAGTCTCTAATAACTTTGTATTATTGATAGTCACCCTGAAATAGGCAAGCAAGATTCCATTAGCCAGGATGTTGCTTTTACCAAGTCAGCAAATGATGTCATAGTATCATCATCATCATTATCACCAGCCCCATGACTAGTTGTGTTTGTAAGGTTGCTACACAGTTAACCACCTGATCATTTTCCTATATATATATCCGAGTTGAAAACTGGAGAGGTATCATTCATGTGTAGCCTGTCTTGAGCAAATAGATGTGGTGAAGCACAACCCTTTCCAGATCATAGACACATGGCTGTTGATTCCATTGGGGGAACCTTGCACTCTGGCCATTGACTTTAAAATATCTCAATGAAATTAACCAACATTTTATTTTTTATTCCAAATGGAACACAAAATTGATCACATGTGACAATCTGTGACAATCCTGAAACCTCTACTGGATAAATAAGTGCAACCACTTCCATGATAGCACAGGCATACTTTTCAACTGCATCATGATTAAGTCATTTGAGTGAGCGTCTGAATGAATGATACCACTCCAGATTCCAACTCAGATATATGGAGGGAATTGATCAGGTGGGGTCAGCTGTCAAATAACAGTGCAAAGGGAAATGAATTATTTTCTCTTTGTAAGGCCCACCAGTGGCCAACAAAAATTAGCAAAGGTTGTAAATTAAATTTTGCCTGGTAAGTTAGAACTTCTCTTATAAAATTTAGGTAATTTCAACGCAAGTAAAACGGTTAAGTCACTGATTATTAAAGTTTACAGAAAGCCAATGACTGTACAATTAATGACATGTTAAATAATTAAGGTGGAAATTAGTTAAATCTCAAATACAATTAAGAAAAAAAAGTGAGATCTTAATTATAGTGGTTGTTTTGGAGATCTCACTTGTTTGCTTTATTAACCCCTCCCTCCACCCCGCTTCAATTTGTAAATCCAAAAACCCTCTTGCAAATAGGGTCATGGCAAAAATATTGTGAAAACAAAGGAAAGAAATAAGGTTGCATTCTCCCTAAGATGCAAATATTGAACAACTTGATCTCATGATTAAAAATAATTTTGACAAAATCAAACAAAATTTTATGACAATACACTGATTTTCTGGGACTAGTGTCTTCATCTTGATTGTTTTTATCATAATATTTTGGCATTCTTCAGGTGTCTATCATTGTTCATAATCTTCCAGAAACTGTGAAAAATACCAGACGGTACAAAGGATGAAATGTGACAATAATTATGAACAACCAAAGTCAAGAATTTCTTCTTTTATGTGCCGTGTCCCTTCAGGACATGGGTGATAATGGCTCTCCGCAGCTTCCTGTTTTTGTAGCTCTTAGCAATGTTTGCTTTTTTATTCTTCCCCCTTCACTGATCTGACATCCATTTACACAAGTTCATTAAGTAGATTACTTGCTGTCTTCCTTTGCCCCTCTTGCTTTCAAAATTCCTGTGTATGTCAAATTCTGAAAGCTCTCTTTCCTCATTGTTTCCCTAAAATTTCAACTATCTCTAATTCTTTTAGTTTCCATTTTCTTTCAAACTTCATTACTCACATGTGCTGTCCATGGTATTCTCAGTATTCTTCTGTAGAACTGTGTCTCCATTGCCCCAAGTCTCCTCTTTGTCTGTGAGGAAATTCTCCAGCATTTGTTGCCATATAAGGGAATGGGTATTACATAGCAATTCAAAACTGATTTCTTTGTTTCCAATTAAATTTTCTTGTTTCTTAATTCAACACAAGGCAAAAAATATATTAGGATGCTAGTCTGAGTAAATCTGTGTATAATCCTCCGGTTTACACTCCTCCCCTGACTCTTGAACAGGAGTAGAGGTTTATCCCTTATTTTTTGTTTAGGAGTGGGTTTCCATTTCTTTCTAAAGTCTTTTCCTTTTTCACTTCCAGTGGCCTCTTTTATATTGGTGGCATTATCATACTGCTTGGGGTGGTGCCCCTTACTCTGTAACCTTTTATCTTAAGTGGCTCTTGAGCCGTTTTACAGGGTGAACATCATTGTAAAAAAATGAAAGAAAGATCAGGTTTGCTTCGGAATCTTCTGACTTTAACCATCTCTTTCTCTCTCCTGACTCCTAACTCTCTCCTACCACCCCTCTTCTTATCTCTACATCATGATATGCAACTTGCCACCAAGCAATGGATGGCTTCTTTCTTGACTGCCTTTGATTCTACATCACCACTGACGGCTCATGTCTCCACCTCAAGTCCAGGAATGGAATTCCCTATATTCTGTCTGAATGGCACTTGATCTTGAAAAATTTTTTTTTTTTTTTTATTTTTTTTTTTCCTACTTGTGGATAGAAGGTAGTTGCTTTGAAGTTCATGTATCTAAACTTTACTGTTGCTAATAATAAAAAAAAAACCAGTGATTTCTTGTACAGGAGTAGAGGTTTATCCCTTGTTCCCTATTTAGGATTGGGTTTCTTGTTATTTCTAAAGTCTTCTCATTCTCCTTCACTCTCAGTAGCCCCTTGCATCTTAGTGGCATTATCATCTTTGGGTAAAGTGATTTAAAAAAATGATCATTTCTTAAATCAAAAATCCAGAGAAAACTTTTATTGATAATCAGTTGTGCAAGGAGCAATTATATTAGTTTTGTAATACCAATAACATTACCTGCTTTAATTTAAAATAAAAAAAAAACAAACAATGTACCAACACTTTTCAGAAATTAATTTTTTATTAAGTAGTTAAGGCAGTGGTTCTTGACTGAAAAAATACATCTATTCACAGCTTTTTCAAAGTAACTGACAATTCTTCCCCTAATTTCATGAAAGAAAAGACTGTTCTGAACCATGTTTCAGGTCAGCATTCTTTTACTGCAGACAAACATATCCCACATTTCCACAAATTGTAACAATCCTTGGTTAGCAAATAAGTTTCAAAGATAAAATGATAAAAATGATATTCGTTGATCTGATTCTAGATTTCAATATTTGCTTATTCTGTATTCATCTTTCTTATTTACAGACATGGCTGGAACTTTAACATGTTATCTCAGAATCCATTATCAGTATTAAGACATCTGGGACCAGTTCCAGGTAAGAATCCAACAAAGCAAATCCTGGCTTTTCTTCTTTCCAAACAAACATGTGAATTGGTAATTGGAATAAATGCTGAAGCAGTTACAATAGACACATGATTCTATAAATCTAGTTTACTTGTGCCATTAAAATAATGACATCTTCAAAATAATTTCTTTTTTATTTCAATTATTATTATTATTATTATTATTATTATTATTATTGTTGTTGTTCTCTGCTCTCTCATGGAGTTAGTTTTTTACCCACTCCCAGCTTCATAAACATCTTGAAACAGTTTACCATTTTTCATAACAAACATACTGACACCTAGGCTTACGGCCACATTACATTGAAACATTGTTTCCCGTATGATCACTGAAGTTAAGCAACAACAAGCCTGGTCAGTACACAGAGGGGTGACTGCTTGAAAATATAAGGTGCTGTAAGCTTGGATTTGTGTGGGTGGTGTAATTGATAATGGCTCTGAATTATTATGAAATGTTTAAAAAAAAAGAAATCACTTGTCCAAATGCAAGATATGGGCAGCAATCCCTCTTTTATACAAGTTTCATTGAAGATAATTGACAACGAACGCTGATTAAACTTTTTAATAAATTTTTCTTGCATTTGGACAACTGATTTCTTTTTTTTGGACATAGATGTGTGTAAAAAAAATGTCCAAATGATCTGAAGAACAGGCACTTTGAACTAAACTATTAGCCATTATCAAGGATATTTTTTTTATGTAACTGAATATGTAGATTTTTACTTTTTTATATTAGTCAAATGCACTTACATTCACAGATAATTTGGACAGTTTTGACACACTCTATGTCCAGAAAAGAAAGCATGTGTACAAATGCAAGAAAAATTTAATGAAAAGCTTAATCAAAGTGCCTCCACAACAGTCTACAATGAAAACACACACACACATATATATATATATATATATATATATATATATATATATATATATATATATGATAGGAAATGTTTATTTACATTATTCGGACTCTTATCCTCATCTTCATTGCTATATTCACAACATTTTGGCCATTGTATGCTCTGGCCTTCTTTAGGTGCTTGGAATTTCGAACCAAACCCTTTATTTCAACCACCAGGGTATATTGTTCTAGTTCCATGTGCCATGCCTCTTCTGGATGTCTCAGTTATTTCCCTTTAACTCGACTCTCCAAGTTTTTTGGTTCATCACTGCTGTAGCCTTGTATTGAACTCACAAATCTTTGGGTCTAGTCACTGGATCTAACCTCTAACCAATGTCTTTATCCACTGGGCTATGTGTCACTGTGGTTAGATCCTCAAGGACACATGGCCCAGTGGATTAGATGTCAGTTATCAAATTCTGTCAGATTCCAATCCATTGTTCATTATTTGAAGAATTATGAACAGAAACATTAGTGATGAGCAGAAAGAGAAAAGAGTAATCAGGTGGATAGTAGATAGAGATTGACATTGCATTTAAATTTTTGCAGATTAAAGTTGGCTGTATATATAAAAGTGGAGACTGAGGTCAACATCATGGAGTGATAGTATGTTTCATGCTTAAACACAATCTTCAGGCCTTGTATATCAAAATTATTTCATATTTAGTGCAAAGAAGAAAGCTTATAAAAAAAAAAATGGTGTTCTTATATATTACAATTTCATGATTTATTTGTTACTTTTTTCGTTTTGCAGGTGTTACATTGCCTATCCTCCATATTGGAATGCTCTTTACAACATCCTGTTGGTCAGTCAACAGACACAACCTGCCCTACGTACATTACCTTCATTCAGGGGCTGATCTCATTTGGTTAGTATTCTAAATTTCAATCATCTTCATTTTAATATTCTTTTTAGACAATTTAAAATTTTTTGTCTCCTAGCTTTGATCTAATCAATAATCTGAAGTCTCAAGTGTAAGCACCCTCCCTAAATCCTAATCTTTGATAACCCTAAGACTAATCCAAACCTTTGGCTCTCTGCTTTGGTTTGACGGCTTGTTAATTTTAACATCTCCAAAATTAAACTGCTCTCCATTAATAATCTGAGTTACCCCTTTCTGCCTTCCATCAGCTTGGCTGATTCAAACCTCCAAGAGAGTGACATGTCATGCCTTCTCAGCTGACATGAAGTGGAAAGACTATATTGAATCCATTGCTAGGTCAGAAGCTAAGGTTGGTTCACTGTGTTGTGTGAGACAATTTTTCTCTTCAGAATCTATCTTACATATCTATAAGTCTACCATTCATCCATGCTTTGTCTCTTTCACATCACTGTAATGTTGCCTTAGTTTTCTATAAATACTTTCATGGTAATTGTTCAGATGAGTTCTTCACTCCGGTACCAAGACTTTTTGAATTTAAGTGCAGTACTAAACCAGCATTGAGATCTCAGATGATAGACACACCTATCTTCTCCTATTGAAGAAAAAAAATGTAAATAAAAGTTCAGGGTTTTCGGCAGTGACATTAGAAGTATAGAGTTGAAGTAGACTTTAGAAGGAAACCCAATCCTCAACAGGAAACAACCTCTGCTATATGAATACCGAACAAGTGAATGGTGGGGAAGCTTTCTAGGACATATGAGTAAAGAGGCTTGAAGAATTTAGCACTCATAGGATATATTGAAGGCAAGAGAAGCAGTGAGTAACCTACTTAATACTTTATGTGAATGGATCAAAGAACAGATGGTATTTACAAAAACAAAAGATAGAAAGTTGTGGAGAGCCTTGACTACCCATATGCTGAAGGTATATGGCACAGACAAAAAATAATAAAATTTACCAAATGAGGGACTTTAGAGAATTTTATTTTTCTTGCTTGAATTGAATGTTGTAACCATTTCTTCAAATCTTTTTAAGGTACTCAATTCCAAAGCAACTGAAGCATAAATTAAAAAATGCCATGAAGGAATTGGTTCCAGGCCGAATTGGTAATGGGGAAGCTTGGCTCAAAGAAGATGCTGTCATGGTGAGTAGATCTTTACAATCATTGCTTGGCCCATTGTATCGTTCAAATGAATAAATCATATGAAGCTTAAAAATGATGATGCTTCATTGGAGCCTATAGATTGGCGCTACAAAATCACAAAAAGCTATAACAAAAGTCACATTACTTGAACAATTCCAACAACAATAAAAGTAAAAATGGGTGGCACATGTAACTAGAAGAGAAAATAATAATATAATCAGGCTAAACAAAATGTTTGAACAGAAATTCACATCAATATTAGAAAGAGAAATAGTGGACTTGAGAAATTTAATTTCTTGAAGAACTCTATTAAGAAAAAGATATTACAAATTTCAACCATCTCTAAGACTAACTCTTCTGTCAGTGAATGTCAAATATTTTCTTGCATGGAAACAGCTAATTTTACAGTCATCATTATATTTAAGTTTGTAAGCATTTGTTTGGCTCAAATGTGTTTCAGACTCTTTTGGTTGTGTAAATGAAATTAGAAAACCAAGTTCAAATTCTGGCTGAACCTGCTGCATTCACTTTTACACAAATGCCTTTAAGAAAGATTTGAATCAATTCCTTCTCCTAAGTATAGTAGACTGGGATCTCTAGCCTAGACTGGTAGCCACTCTAAATAATGACTACTCTGAATGCAAACCTATGGAGAAGACAACAAGAAACCATTCCATTATCTTTCCCAAGAAGGCATAGTAATTCAAAGATAACAAAGAAAAGGAAGCTAGGAAGAGTCATGATCGTATACCTACTGAAGGTACATGGCATTAAAAACATACAGGGCTAGAATCTTCCATTAGAACATCTAGACTGGCACTGTAAAATAACAATGAAAAAAAAAATCCCTTGAAAAATTTCAACAGCATTAAAAGCAAAAATGGGTGGCAAGAGAAAATAATTTAATCAGTCTAAACAAAATGTTTGAAGAGAAATTCACATCAATATTAGAAAGAGATATAGCAGTGGACTTGAGAAATTTAATTTGCTTAAAAACTGTTTTAAGAAAAGTATTTTATAAATTTCAGTTGATAGTAATGCTGAATCTTCAATTAATAAATTCCAAATGTTACCTGTATGTAAACAGCTGTTCTCATCCTTACCATTGTAACCTGGTGAGGCTTTAAGGTGCATACTTAATTTTTTTTACTGGAACTACCATTCAGTTTAATGAATTGGATTATCTGCCTTAATAACCTTACTAGCTCAGATATTATTCTATCTAAAATTTAATTTCGGAGATATTTTTTGGTCAGAAATAAAGACTTATCACGTTTTTTTTGGTGGGGGGGCATAACTCCTATTTAATGATCAATGATAAATTCATTGAAGGTAAAAATAATACAATTTGTGACATAATTCCATTTAGCAGACCAGTTATTACTAACCTCATGCACAAAGTTGGTGTATGGTTTCTTGTCCATAAAATGCCATAAAAATCCAGGGTGAGGATTTCTGAGGGAGCAAGGTCAGGAGAGGAAATAAGGAATGAAGACATAAAAAACACAAAAAAACTTTCATATCTAGTGCCAAATCTCTACCCACCCCCTCCAACAATATAATTTTTTTTTATTACGATTGTTCATCCAATAGAAGCCCCAAGAGCCATTCAAAGTAGAGGGTTACTAAATTGGGATGTTGTATGTGTGTACAGAAAGGGATCAGGGGTTGCATATTATGAGGATATTTAGGAAAGATAATGGTTGACTCTTAACTTGAAGATGTTAAGCTTATAGTGTTCAGGGAAGAATCCTCACAGTAGTCCATTCCACATTATAACAGTTCTGGAGAAGAAGTTGTCTGAGTGGAACTTCTTTCCTACTAATGGAATATGAAGGGAATGAGTCAACTCAGTGCACATGGCATAACTGGTTCAAACTGTCATGGTCTGAATTGTTAGAACAAAGTAATGTAGTTTGTCTGAACATCTGTCATGAGGCTGGCAACATTTAGCCTGTGGGAGAGGGGTTGAAAGGGGGGAAACAATTCATCACCCACAAGGTTGTGCAAACTCTGTTGAGATTTGAAAGTGAGGATTGGGTAGTTTTTCAGTGTTGCCTTGGAGGAACTACCCACCTTTTCAAATGACCAGTGAAGTTCACATTTTCAACCACATTTAAATCTGATTGTTGAATGGCTTCTAAGGGGATGAGGGGTCAATGTCTTTTTACTTCTGTTGCATGAACAAATAAAATAGTTATGGGGATGTGGTTTGCCTATTTATATATGCTAGTGGGAAGACATTTTGTCAAGAGATTTGGTTTGGTTTGTTTTACGGCATAGCAAACCTCAATGGGTTATTTAATGCCAAGAATTTTTATTGCTGGTAATATTATTTTTCCAAAAATGTATTGCTCGTAATATTTTTTTTTTCCCAAAAACGTATAGCTTGTAATATTTCTTTTTCCAAAAATATATTGCTGGGAGAATATTTATTTTTTATTTTTTTTACTTTATTTTATTTTATTTTTTTAAATTCATTGATGATAATAATGTATTGCTAGTAATAAAATTTATTGCAGTTAATATTTTCTTACAAAGTATTTCTGGCATTAAAACCTATTTTTACACTTTCGTGTTTTAACCCCAGTTTGGGGGTTAACTATTTGCCCATAGCTGGGACCCTAACAGGTGCTATCACCCCATATCAGAGTGGACCTGGTAACACCAGCAATTAAGAGGTGGTTCCATGCTCCTCAAAACCTCCTGATCAGGGGCCTTGCTGTTGGACCTAGTTTATCATTTTACCCAGGACACGGATGAAGAGATCTGGTAATGAAACTAAGCACAAGAAGTGAATTCATGCCTTTCAAAAGAGCATAAGTGTGAAGAGAATCTGCAGCTTTAGTTTATCGATTCCATTTTCTTTACTGGTAACCATTGTGCCACTCTCCTCCATAAATGAATACATTCTTTAAAATTATAATTATCTTTTTTTTTTGTGATGTCAATGAATATTCGTTGTCACTTTTATAATGCTAGTTGTTTTGTAAATGCAGATACAACTGTAGTAATGCCATTGAACAATACTGATGTTAGACGCCTTCAAATAACACTTGCCCTAATGGTACTTGCTTGATAATACTCGCTCGACAAGTAACCCATATGGTGATCAGAATAGAGGAATATTGTAGGGAAGGGAATAGAAGTCCGTATAGTAATAGAGGATAGAATAGAAATAGAGATCCAAATAGTAATACAGTATAGACTAGGAATTACGATCATTAGTCGTTAGCTACTTCCTACATGTATGCGTTTCCTCTATGGTCACATGGTCTACTTAATTCAATAATGGGATCACCTGTTTGCTTACTGGCAATCTAAATTCAAACTCAAGTTTCAGCAGCGACACTTTATTCCTATATAACACTTTTCAAGTTTGTCCACTCAGACAAAAAATTGATTCTTTGATAACGTCAGCTACATTCCATGTAAAATACTGGGTTATCTCTTCACCAACAAATGAACGGAGCTTGGCTACTGGGGGTCCATTCTTCAGGCAGCACCTCACCATTGCATCCACTTTTTAAAACCATTTTCTAAATGTTTTTAATTTAAATTTTTTTCAAATTTAATTATTGTTTTTCATATTTAATTTATTTATTTTTTAAGATAAATCCTGAGCTGCTAGTTGAAAAAGGTGTCTCAGTTGGGCGTATCATACAGAAACAACACCAATTTGTTGTGGTGTTCCCATATACCTACACCTCTTCTCTGACATGTGGCTACAGTGTCTCCGAGTGCCTCCCCTATGCTACACCTGACTGGTTGCCTCTCGGACAAGCTATAGCTCAGGTAAGTAACCGTCTTCTTTTTACCATTTTCTTAACTTTAAGATTTGTTTGAATAATTTCTAAATTATGCTGTCAGTATAGTAGACTCCTGCAACAGAGATTGAACGTACAATGGGACAAAAGACATATGGCCTTATGGATTAAATCATTGGTTAAAACATATCAGGTTCCATCGCATTTGTGAGTTCAGTCTGTGGGTCTGGTGGTGAAAATTTCCATACTCTGGTTATGTTTTTTCCTTTCAATGAACCAGAGTAAATGGCACAAAAGGGAACAAGACTGGTGAGCATTAAATTATTGATTGTCTGCTAAGCCTGTAATTTTTTTTTTTTTTTTAAGCATTTCACCCCAAGCAAGGTGGGAATGCCACTAGTATGCAAGGGGTTACAGAGAGTTTAAAGTATGAGTAAAGAGGGGGTGTTTGAGGAAAGGATAAAGAGAAGGATGAGGATCAAGATCAAGGCATCAGAAGATGTTGATTGGCATTATATTTAATTTTTTGAAGATTATAGTTATCAGGGAAGCAAGTAAGAGGAAGGGAGTTTCACTGTCAGGAAGTGTGGGGCATTGAGAACAATTTACTCTCTTTTCACCCCAAGCAAGGTGATAATGCCACTAAGATGCAAATAGCTAATGGGAGAGAAAAAGAGTGAAGAGACTTTTCTTTTTCTGTTCCTAATTCTTCCACACCCAGTAACTCCTTGTGGATTTACTGCCTTATATGGGGGTGATACCAATTTAAAAAAAAACAAAAAAAACTGTGCCAGGTTAATTCATGAACAAAGAATCCAATATATTGTAAACAAGGTTCATGTTTTCTTTTTTTTCTTGCCTTCTGTCTCTTTGTAGAGCATATGCTGGAACTTTCCCAGCTTTTGTTCACATTGCAAGATGAAACTGTTTAATCAGTGAAAGACTCACAGAGGGCCATGGTTCTATGGTGATTTTCTAAGCATAGCTTAGATGTGGCACAAGGCCAAAAATGTGGGGCTCCAGTGAGGACCGAACTCACTACTCAGTCGTAATTGTTCTAGCGAGACAAGCTTGCTAACCATTACACAACGTCAAGGTGCTCAAGGGCCATGGTCGTATGATCATAACTATGTTAGCTACAAGGAAAACCTGAAAATATTTACTAAATTTAGCAGAAGATTAAAACAAAAAGAAATTAGGAGGATTGTATTGCACCCTTCTTCCAAGTTGGGAGAGCTAGCCTGTCTTGAAATCATGGCTTTTATCTGGGCTTGAACACTGACCACTGGTACATGTAAAAAATATGCAACTGTCTGGTGATTGGATTGTTCTAGGAAGTTTAAAATAAAACTCTTTCCCCAGGAACTTTCATAATTTTTATTCTTGTTTTTCTTTAATGATTGCTTTTGTTCTTCTTGTAGGTTCTACGTAGGAATTGTTTATGGCCTGAAATGTTCTCACTTGATTCTTTGCTACGTCGTATTGTGAAGGCAGAACCTGCTGTAAGTGATGAATTGTTAACCCAAGCACTGCCATTCTTGGAGAAAGCAATGTAAGTTTGAAAATAAGCTTCCTCTTCAACATTATATTTCTGTGTTTTCTATGTATTGATTTTTATTGATCACACTTATTATTTGATAATATTTGAAGTCATCAATGTCAGATTAAAAATAAATTCATTAATTCTTTAGAAATAAATCGGTACCTCCAAAAAAAAAAAAAAATTTTCTAGGCCCAGTGCACTTCCTAAAATCTGACTATGTTGATGACAGAGAAACAAAATTTTTAACGTTCTAAAACTTATGTAAAAAAAAATTTGCATCAAAAAATTCTTTGAACTTTCCTCATAGCAACATTTTGTATTTATTAAGTTTTGAGCATATTTTTCATAATGTGCTCGTTTTTTGTTGAATATTTGAATTATATGAGATTTTGTGTCCTCCACATGTTTTGACTGACCTTTCAACCACCTGAGGAATATTCATGAACATTCTCAAATTTAAAAGCCTAAACCAATGAGATTCTCACTTTTGTATATAAACATGTGCAACAAAATAAATCCTACATTACCTTGATAAAATCTCTCCAGGGACAAAATGTGTCAGCTAACAATAGTTTTTCCTCTTGTCTCTTTTTATATTATAACCAAACATATATATATATATATATATATAAAAACAGACCACTTTAAGGTTCCATGCCTGTTTTTATTTAAATTATTTGCTCTGGATTTACATTGAGCTCTCTGGATTTTATCCTCCTTGGGTTTACCCATACGGATTACCTAGTTTTTCATAAACTATATATATATATATATATATATATATATATATATATATATTTATTTTAATTGATGTTTGGTTACAATTTTTGTGTAAAGTTTTTGTAATTACAAAATATTTATAAATTGTATTAGTTTTGTCTGAAATCTTTGACCCCAATCCATGGAAATCATATTTCTGGCAAACTAATGTATGTGTATATCTAGCTCCTTTCTGTTTCTATAATCTTCTGCTTCTCTGAGACAGTACTGAAAAGTTCTCAGCTCAACTGACATTTCAAAATCTGACCAAATAATCAGATTTTGTTTTGGTATCTTTTTGGTTAGGCTGAGAACTTTTCAATGTTCCTCACACCACAGTTTGAATTAATCTGCTGTTTTTTTTCTTTTGTTCCAGAGAACATGAACTCTCTTTGCGGAAACAACTTTATGATGCTGGTCTGAAAAATGCCAAAAAGATGAATGCCAATGAACCTTTGGTGCCATCTTCTCCAAAACGTAGACGCCTTAATGATGGAGAAGAAGAAAATAGGTGTGAAGTGTACAAAAGGATTTGTTACTTTTCAATGGTAATCTAACTTCAGCATTGTTTTCTGTGTTCACCTACAAATCAAAATACAATAATATTTATTTTATTTATTTATTTTTTTTTTATTTCATTGCAGGTTGTGAATGAAGTGGATGATAGCTTATACTGCCTTGATCATGCCCTTTCTCATATCCAGAAAAAACGCAACCTCAAAGCCTGTCGACTCTATTACAGATACTCAGATGTAAGTCTTCATTGTCTTGTAGTTTTTAAATTTTACTTCCAGACTGATACCTTTGGTTTTTGTTCAGGATTTTATTTTGCAAAATAGATAAAACCAAGCCAGTAAATTGTTGGATTGGACTTTTATCATAGATGACTTAGCTAATTTGTGGACTGCTACTTAATAGTGAATTAACTGATGTTAGTTCTCCTTACTAGATTTTGTTTTACTGCTAATATGTAGATATTTCTTTGTCCAATGAAGTAGTCCATTTTCTCTACAGAATTGCAAATGGCTTCCATAGTAACAATATGGCTGCCCTATATGACTATGCTGTCATATAAATAGCTACTATTACTCTATGCATTTACATATATATGTAGGTTCATCAATAAATACCTAGTCTAATGTTGAAAATAATTCATTAATTTATATTAATCTGGAATTGAAATAAAAGCATCTACCCTAAATCCATCATAAAAATTCAGGTTGTGGAATTGATAAATGCCAAACACTTCAAATACCTTGGCATATCGTTCAGTTATAAGAAATTTAGTATAGGAGAAAAGGAAATTGAACATAGAATAGTCTGTGCCAAAGGTAGTTTCCCCCATCGCCACAAATTCCTATGAAACCAAAATACCAACCTGAAAACTCATCATGTTCTTAACTAGCTTCATCAGATTGTAGACTCTTATATGAATGTCATGCATGGCATCAAAACCATTCAGAAATACCTAAACTGTCAGCAGTTTACAACTGCTTTCTAAAATCAATGCTGAAAAACGGCTTTGAGCAAGTGAAGCCTGAAGGTCTTGGCAAAGATCATCCTTCTTTGAACCTTGTGGACTAGTGCTAGTGAATCACAAACAAAGTACTGTACCAAATAACAGGAACCACATCACTTGAGGACTACCAACAGCAACAACAACTAAAAGGGATTACATGTATAACTTGAAGAGAAAATAATGACATAATCAAAATGTTAACATTCCACACTACTTCAGAAAGATTAGAAAGGAAACTCCTGTCAATACTGGAAGAAGCAATAACAGCTATTGGACTTGAGAAACTGGTTTTCCTGAAAAATTGTTTTAAGAGAAAGATTTTATGAATTTCAACCAAACGCTGTACTGGCTGCTCAGTTAATGAATGTCAAATGGTGTAGAGAAATGGCTAATATTACCATTACCAGTCTTTATAGATGAAATATTATATAGTGAACATTTAAAATTCAAATCTACCTAATAACAGCCTGGCTATTGATCCACCCTTGAAAATTTATATATGACTCCGGGGAGGGGGGATGTAAATAAATTAAATATAAATATACACATCTTTATAATTAATAAGTAATTATAAAAATAATACTAAGGTACACACAAATAGCATGGTACATTTACATATGCAAATTATGAATAGATTACATAGGAATAATCACATTTACAAAAAATACTAGATTATGTTTGTATCTATTTACATATCACCATGTTAGATACAATATTCACATGAAAAAAAAATATATATATAAAAATCAGATCAGCCAATTATGCTACCACGGTTTCAACCTTTAGGTACTCTCAGGCAATATAGACTAAATGATTTCTTCATGCTTTATTATTCATATAAGAACACACACACACACACACACACACACACATATATATATATATATATATATATATAATACACACACACTCTTGAAAGTTAATGTTTGTGTTTTAAATGTCTTAAATGTTGTTTGAGCTTATATGATTTTACAACTAATTAATATTCTAATGATATTTAAACTTTATTTCTGCTTGTTTATGATGTATTGGAGAATCAATTTATACAAATCTTGTACCTTGTGCAGTCCATGATACCATATTTGATCATGTAACACCCTTTCTCCATTTACATTCATGATTACAGAGAATGATGCAAATATTGGCAGTCTCCCGCATGTGAATAAACATTAGCTGACCAGATATCTCGGGTTTTCTTATCAGATCTGGAAGAAGAGAGATATTTTTAAGATATTTTGTGGGAAGTGAGGATTCTCATATACCATCAAACATTATTTACACTATTTACATTGTTTGGAGTCTTGTCCTCATCTTTGTTGCCATATTCACAACATTCAGCCTTCTTCAGGTGATGTCTTCAAGGACACATGGCCGAGTAGATAAAAATATGGGTTGAATCCAGTGACTTAACCCAAAGAGTTGTGAGTTCAATACCTGGCTACAGCTAAGGTGAATAAAAACTTGGAGAGTTAAGAGCTGATACTTAGACATCTGGAAGAGGTATAGCATGTGGAACTAGAACAGTCTACCCCGCTGGACAAAATAAAGGTTTCAGTTTGAAATTCTAATCACTTGAAGATGGCCAGAGTGTACAATGGTCAAAATGTTGTGAATATCGCAACAAAGATGAGGACTACAGTTCGAACAATGCAAATAGTGTAAATAATTAAAATACCTCATCTCAGACATATAGACAGACCATCAAACATGTTAACTTTGCATTCTAAAAACCAGATCTTTAAATAATTCAGGGAAACATTATAAACATATTTTTCTTTTTTAGGAAGATCTTCAAGAATTGCTGAAGAATGCTTCCAGTCGGTTGAACTCCAAAGAGCCAGGGACAGCGATCACTGACTCTAGTCCAAAGCGAAAGTCAACGAAAGTCAATGAAACGTCCAGACTCAAAAAGTTGAATGTAGACTGATTGCTGATTTCTGATTGGTTGGCGGAAATAGAAAACCATATTTAAAAAAAAAAAATTAAAAAAAAAGTAAGGAAACAAAACCAAACAAAAAAAGAAATTAACATCTCATAATCTACATTAACAAAGTGTCACAAACATAATTTTTTTTTTTTTTTTTTTTTTTTTTAAATTTCCTTTCCTTGAGTCAGACAACACAGACAAGAAGACTGAGAGTGGTTCAAACTGATCATTTGGATCAACTTGAATGTGGCTCAAGGATTCCGAATTGCTCTCTGCCAGGATCTCATACTCAGGAACTGCTGTGATATAGCCTGGACTATTTTACTGAACAAAATGATAATTCTTGTAATGATGATAATTAATGATGTTTCATTTAATACTCAACAGTTTTCATTAAGACTGGATCAGGTTTTTACTGAAATGAATTCAGGTTTTCAGAGGCAGTGCCTAATCTTTGAAAGTTAATCAAAATTTGCATAATTTAATAAGTGATTTAATTTATTTATTAGCTTAAATGGTGCAATTGTACAATAGCCATTGTAACCAGAAATAACTTATTTTATTTATTTTTCATATTACTATAGATTAAGCATTGCAAATCATGAATATAATTAGGTCTTATGGCCACATCACATTGAAGCACCTGTTCCTGTACATTCACCAGAGTTAAGCATTGTTGATCCTGGTCAGTATCTAAGTGGGTGACTGCTTGGAAAGACCTGGTGTTGTAAGCTTGGATGTGTGGGTAGTTTAATGGATAATGACTTGGAATTGTTACTCAGAGTTCCAATTCCAGCTGGGTTTGTTACATTCATTTACATGCAAATAACCTTGTGTATGAATCCACCTCTTTTCTCCCCAACTAAGACTTGTATCATTAAATCATTATTCCCTCCCACAAATTCTTACAATCTAAAAATATATTTTCTGGCTTTAAATAACCTGCAAAATACTGATAAGCCATAGAATATTAATCATTCAATAAAGAAATATAATTTTTTTTTAATTTTATAAAAGTTAATCGATGGGGGTCCAGTTTGCTCTGTAAATTCATTGTAAATTGATCCTCCAATCAAAGGAAATATAATCATACAACATGATTTCTTAAAATGTAAAAAAATAAAACTTTTTTTTTTTAAATGACTTATTTGGAGTTGTTTTTTTTTCTTTTATATATTACTATTGATTAAGCACTCCAAACTATGAACTATGAATTTCAAATTTAAAAAAAATTCTTTTTTTTTTTTTTACATTTTAAGAAATCACTTTGTATGATCATATTTTGTTTGGGCTGCCATTGAGGGGCCAATTTACAATGGACTCTCTTATTAACTCTTATAAAACTTAATTATTTATTTTTGGGTGCGAGATCTGGCCTGCTTAATGTATAGTAATCTAAAAAGAAGAATTGGAAAAAGATGATTTATGATCACAGTGGCTATTGTAAAACGTCACCATTTAAATTAATAAAAGTTCACAGTGCCAAATTTATCTTAGTCCCTTAATCAGAGAAAAATTGCAGTTGCAGAGAAAGTTTTTAAAATTTACTTGAGGAAGGTCAAAGAACCCACCAGCTGAAGTGTAGTTAGCAAAACAAAAGTGAAGACACAATTCTGAGGGATCAGTCAAGTTAAGGAAGTATTTTATTTTTGTATCTGTTTTCATTTTTGTTAATCTTTTCACCCCAAACAAGGTGATAATGCCACTGAGATGCAAGGGGGTTACTGAGAGTGAAAGAAGATGAGAAAGCATTAGCGAGGAAAAAAGACAATAAAAGAACAAGTTCCAGGAAGAAAGGAAATGGCAATTGATATTGCATTTAAACACAAAATTGACGGCTGAGTGAGAAAATGTTAGATGAGAAATTTCATGTCTTTGTATGCTTTAATTGTTATTCTGGGTTTGATTATAGAAATAAGAGTTCATAAATATTTATCAGGTTCTCTCTCTCTCTCTCTCCACATTTCTCTCTCTTCCTTTGTCTCTCAGCTCTTTCTCTTTGTCTCTCAGCTCTTTCTCTTTGTCTCTCAGCTCTTTCTCTTTGTCTCTCAGCTCTTTCTCTTTGCCTCTCAGCTCTCTCCTTTTTTTTTCTCTCTCTCTCCTTTTTTTTTCTCTCTCTCTCTCTCCTTTTTTTCTCTCTCTCTCTCTCTCCTTTTTTCTCTCTCTCTCTCTCTCCTTTTTTTTTCTCTCTCTCTCTCCTTTTTCTTTTTTTCTCTCTCTCTCTCCTTTTTTCTCTCTCTCTCTCTCCTTTTCTCTCTCTCTCTCTCTCTCCTTTTTTTCTCTCTCTCTCTCCTTTTTTCTCTCTCTTTCCTTTTTTTCTCTCTCTCTCCTTTTTTCTCTCTCTCCTCTCTCTCTCTCCCTCTCTCTCTCCTTTTCTCTCTCTCTCTCCCTTTTTTCTCTCTCTCTCTCCCTTTTTTCTCTCTCTCTCTCCCTTTTTTCTCTCTCTCTCTCCCTTTTTTCCCTCTCTCTCTCTCCCTTTTTTCCCTCTCTCTCTCCCTTTTTTCTCTCTCTCTCCCCTTTTCTCTCCCTCTCTCCTTTCTCTCCCTCTCTCCTTTCTCTCTCTTCTTTCTCTCTCCTTTTCTCTCTCATCTCTCTCTCCTTTTCTCTCTCATCTCTCTCTCTCCTTTTCTCTCTCATCTCTCTCTCTCTCCTTTTCTCTCTCTCTCCTTTTCTCTCTCTCTCCTTTTCTCTCTCATCTCCCTCTCTCTCCTCTCCTCTCACAGAAAAATGTTAGCATTTCCAGTGATGTGATCCCACATGAATGTTAGAATTCTCAGTTGCTGTATTACTTACCATCTTTACCATAAAAGACAAATACACTCTTTTCTTTACATATTGTACACCTGAAGAAGGCTGTTGAATGGATTGGCTGAAACAAATCTTGAAATGACTGCAGATATATTTGTTCTTTAATGGCTTAGAGCGTAAGATACTGCCTGCCCGGCACATATGCATATATTTGAATTTAGTTAAACTGATACTGCATTGATCTGTCATTTTTTATATCAGGTTAAATTTTTTTAAAGATACTTTTCGTTGTTGTATTTTTAATGTTTGTAGACACACGAGTCAGAGAACGGCAAAAATAATTTCTTTTTACACATTCCAACATCATTCAGAAAGAGGATTCAAATGGTTTGTTTATTTACAATAGTTTTTAATGTAATAATATATTTAATTCCAAATATCTTTTATTTTACACATTAGTCTATGACCCACAAGCTGATTTGAATAAAATCTGTTGATTATTAAATGAAATATCTATCGGTTATCAGCATGATTTACAAGTCTCATTTGGAAATCCTACAAGGCCCTCTACCTTTTTGTGGGGGTCAAAAATAAAGCAAAACTTTTCATTTTCTCAGATGGTCTTTGTGAAAGAAGGAAAAAAAAAATGGCAAAAAAAATTCAACCCCCAAAAAATTTGAACTGCAAATATGTCAACAATTTTTACCATTTTATTTGTAATTTTGTTTAATTTTCTATGATTTACACTTTTAATAATTTACAATTTTCACCAATGTTCAATTGATTAAATATTGTGGAAAAAAATTATTTAACAAACAAAATCTTTGTTAAAACATTGGTAGTCTTCTTGACATTGTAGAAGACAAATGTCAAATTACTGTTCACATAAAAATGCTCCTAAATTCATTGTGTAAAAGAACGTTCTGGTATTTTATTGAGATGAAGGGAAACTTTTTTTTTTTTTTCATCTCAAATGTTTGTAAAGAGGAATCAGGTGACATCAATCACTTCAACATTTTTTTTTTTATTTTAACTTGAATATCAGAAACAGAACCTGATAATCATTGTAAAGTATTGCATTTTTCTGCCTGCTAGTTCAACTCCCCTCACTTGCAGACTGTTTTTCAACATTATTGAAAAGTCTTAGCAAAGGTGATAACATTGGAACATTGTTAATGTTAAAAATGTTGTCTTTAAAGTGTTTCTTTTGATTTATGTGTGCACAATTTTTTTTTTTAACTTTAAAAAATTTTAATTTTTCTATTTGGTCAGTTCCTTCTTATTTATTTATTTTTTTTTTTTTTTTAGCAACTGGAAACCTTATGCTAACATGTTGGTAATTTTCTTATTGGGTTTAAAAAGAAAGATTCATTTGCAAGCACATTTATAGCTGAAGATGAATTTATCACCTGTTGGCAGGGGTTGATGAGGAAAAAAAAAAGAAAATTATCCAATTTTGAGAAAATACAAAATTAGGACTGAATTTCAAAAAATGTTAACACGGGTCGAGTAATAAAAATATCTTGAAAGTACATTTACACACGTCCACATAAATGTGTGCGTCTACACACATCAATACATATATACACATATTAAGTGTGAGGGTCAATATTTAAGAAGGTAGTTGTTTTTTTTTTTTTTTTATGTGTGTGTACACACACACACACACACATACATATATATATATATATATATATATATATATATATATATATATATAGCTGACAAGGAAGATTTAATTAATTTTTACTTAGATTTTCCAGCATCGTTACATTTTTCCGTTTGGAAGGAGTACAAATACTTTCCAGAATTTTCTTTGCTCTAAACGCTTCCAAACATCTTTGAAATTGGCTAAAGCAATGATGAAAATTATGGAAAATCTTTGCACTCCTAAATAAAAAAATTAAATCTTCTTTGTTTGTCATATTTAACGAAAGATGTTCAAAAGAAAGAGTGATGCCCAAATAAACATTTTATATATATATATATATATATATATATATATATATATATATATACACACACACACATCTAGGTACATTTTTTTTTCTTTTTATCCATGCACACAACTCTATTTATTTCTCTCTCTCTCTCTCTCTATAAACAGAGTGGGTACGTTTTTGTGCATGTACATATTTACATACCTCCCTCTCCCCCCTCCCTCTTGATATATATATATATATATATATATATATATAATGGATTTTTTATTTATTAATCTGACAGATTTTTATCACTTAAAACATTATTTTTAGTAGATATGGTTTCTCCTGTAAAGCAGGGAGGGTTTGTAATTTTCTTTTATAAGATATCTTCAATATTCAGGCTGGTAGACAAACATGAATATATTATTTAAAATAAACAGAACATCTACCCAAGTATGGGTATCCACTAAAAATAATGTTTAAAGAGATAAAATCTGTTGAATTAGTAAATTAAAAAGTAAAGAAAAAAAGAAAGAAATCATTACTTCTTTAGAAATTGCTTTGTTCACATTTGGATATGAAACTAAGCAGATATGAACTTACAAGAATCTGGGCTGAGAAGGATTTATACTTAAAGGCCTTGCTTGATCAGCAATGCCCTTTGTGGCTGAGTCAGTCTAAATCACGTTGGATCTAACAGTGAACCCATACATATATTTAATAAGGTTTCTTGAATAATAAATAACATTTGATTTTATATATATATATATATATATATATATATATATATATATATATTTCTGATATATGTAAGAGTGGTCAATTTTAAATATTTTAAAAGAGCCATTTATTCATTCCTTTGGGAAAGCGTGAAAAGAACAATAGATCTCTGCATTTTGAAAAATTATTAAGTATGACATAAATGGGTAACTAAATGAAAAATTTTATTTATAAAAACATGGTTTATTGAATTTGACTGACAATGTTTCTCTATTTGTATATTTTTTATTACATAGTTCTATCCATACATCAAAATCAAATTTATTAAGAAACTGTCCAACATTAACAACTAAAGTATAGAACAGACTTTTCCTTATATATATTTTATTTTTTTTTTTTTTGAAAAAAAATATGCTTGGATGAAATTAGTGAAATTTTTTTTTTCTTTATTGTAACTGAGAACATTGTAACATGAAATTTGGAGAATTTTTGATGTGCAGCAAATTTATATGCTGACTGAAAGAAATGTATTAAAAACTGAATAGACAAATTTTGTCAGTTAATTTCAATAAAACATGGTTGAATGAAGTCTTGCTGTTTAAGTATATGTTCATATATATATATATATATATATATATATAAAACAAATGAAATTGTGTTTAACTTATGGTCAATTAATTTGATTTTTTTGTTAGTATTGAACAATTCATTTGCAAAGACTGCTTGCTTTAAAAGTATTATCCTTTAGAAATACACTGGTCAACCATTTTTTTTTTTTTGTGTCAAAACAATCTTTAATACATACATGTGTGTGTGTAAAAATTCAGATACAAATAAAATATATATCCGTAAAGACAATATAGATATGAATTTATCACCTGTTGGGAAAAGGGAAATTTTCTTTACCAACATATTTTGTCTCAAAGTTTTTTTTACTCATTATGCCCCATGAATAAATTAGCAAGAATTGGAAACAAAGGAGAAACCATTACCATTCCCATCAATTTTGTCATAATCATTTTCATACAAAAACTGAGTTAAAAATACAACCTGGATAACTTTTTTTAATTGTGCTTTTGACATTTTAATGATATTCAAAAATCTTTTCTACTGCTAAATTTATTATCCTATCTAGTCAAGTATTGGTGTGTAACTCTCTCAGAAGAAACTCTGTGTTCCATCACATTTAGATCCTTTAATTCTTTTACCATTGTAAAAGAATCTAACACACAGTTTAATATTAATACACAAGCACACGTCTATTTGTCTTTATCTATTTATACATACACACCTAAAATCAAGAATCTCTTTTTTTTTTTTTTTTTTTTTTTTAAAAAAAAGATTTCAGTTGATGTGTCTATTTGTTGATCAAATGCAAAATGACTGAATCATAAAGAGAACAATTTGTGAATTCCTTAAAATATAATTAAGAATGTTTTAAAAATTTCAAATCTAAAGATATTGTTTTAAAGTGGCAGCAAGATACTTTCAAGACTTTCACTTCCATAAAAATGCTATCTTTGTAACTAGCTAAGTTACTTTTATTATTATAATTAGTAGTAGTAGTAGTAGTAGTAGCAGTAACAACAACTACTATGAGAGAGAAAAAATTATTTTCCTCTTTTTAAATTTGGTGACCTCGAGGTCAACTTGTAGTGTGAATGTAAAATTGACAAAATATCTGGGTGAAAATCCGATAAATTATTTAGAAAAAAGATTTAAAAATATTAACAAAAAAATTTTAATGTGGTGGGTGGAGAAATAAAAAATCAAAAAAAAAAAAAATCAAGGAATGGCAGCAGGGTACTTTCAAGATATTTTTATTTCTCTGGTAAATAAATTTATTCATAATGTACTCTATATTAAATTTATTTCATAATGTACTCTATTTTAAAGAGAAATAGTAAAAAATTTGAAATCCATTGTTTTCACTGCCAATAAAAAAATAACTTTGAATTGTATTTGCTAATATGACAGCCAAAGGAACTAAGGTTATTTTTGGTAATTTGTATTACCTGAAAGAATTCCTTAACTCATTTTATGAAGACATTAAAAAAAAAAAAAATCAAATTCTGGTGCAAGGCCACATTTTTGGAGTGCCCAGCAAGAATCAAACTTATTAATATTGGAATGTAAAACCAGCATACAAGCCAATGCACCATAAGCAGGTGTTGTCATTTTTATTAGTTTTACATGGTTTATTCAATATTCTTAACTGTGTTTACTTGAGTAAGAATTATTTTTTGTCTGGTTAAATGCTGATTTATTATACCTGATTAACATTTTTTAATGCACTTCAGAAATAAAATAAATTCAAACCTACACCAAAATTTGGTATTTC